TCGCCCAAAATGACTGTCTACGCTTGCTCACAGCTTTTAGTTGTCGGAACGGAAGGGCGTCCGGCATAAAGCACTTACCCAAACATGCGAGTTCATCTTTTGCTTTGAAAGATGCTGATGGAGAAGTAGAAAGACGGTCGGAAAGAACTTTGTTGCATCTTTTGTGAATTTAGAAAAATTGTGACATGCCGGGGGCAGCACGGTGGCGCAACCGGTAGAGCTGCTGCCTCTCAGCGAGCAGGTCCTTGGTTCAAACCCCGGTCCAGGGGCCTTTCTGGGTGGAGTTTGCATGTTCTCTCCGTGCATGCGTGGGTTTTCTCCGGGTACTCCGGTTTCCTCCCACAGACCAAAAACATGCATGTTAGGCTGATTGGTAACTCTAAAATTGTCCCTAGGTGTGCATGAGAAAGTGAATGGTTGTTTGTTTCGTTTGTCTCTATGTGTCCCTGTGATGGACTTGCGACCCGTCCAGGGTGTACCCCGCCCCTCGCACAGTGATTGCTGGAAATGGGCACCGGCGACCCCCGTGACCCAAAATGGAATAAACGGGTAAAGATAATGGATGGATGAATGTGACGTGCCGAGGGGAGGACCTGTGTTGTGCATGAGGAAATCTGGAGTGGCAGGGAAGTTCTATTTTGTATAGGCTTCGCCCTTTAAGACTGTCGCTAGTGGGTTTATCCCTAGGCGCGCAGTGCAGCACTGAAAACTTTAGTCCACGCCCACCTGCTGTGTGTGGGCCTCGCCCCTGGTCCATATAAATTACGGTGAGACCGGGTAATCGGCTCCCAAATAGCTTTTTTCTTCAGCCATTAGGAACCAGTGAGGCCCAGAGCTTAAAGGGCTATGCCTATACTCATAGAATCTAGGGTTACAGTACGTAACCAACGTTTATTAGACTGGTACAGGACATGTATGAGGACAGCAGGACAGTGGTGAGATGTGCTGTAGGAGTGACAGATAGTTTCAAGGTGTAGGTGGGAGTGCATCAAGGATCAGCTCTGAGCCCCTTCTTGTTTGCTCTGGTGATGGACTGATTAACAGATGAGGTCAAACAGGAATCCCCGTGGACTATAATGTTTGCAGATGACATTGTGATCTGCGGTGAGAACAAGTAGAAGAGAACTTAGACAGGAGGAGATATGCACTTGAAAGAAGAGGAATGAAAGTAAGCCTTAGTAAGACAGAGCTGGTGGAACAGTGAGGCTACAAGGAGCAGAGGTCACAAGGTACAGGACTTCAAGTACTTGGGGTCCACTGTCCAAGAAAATGGGGAGTGTGGTAAATGGGTGAAAAAGAGGGTCCAGGTAGGAGTGGATGGATGGAGAAAAATTTCAGGAGTGGTTTGTAACAAAAGGGTGGCAGCAAAGACACAGGTGGAGACTGTGGTACTGACAAAAAGACATGAGACAGAACTGGAAGTAGCAGAAATGAAGATGTTGAGGTTCTCCTTAGGAGTGACAAGATTAGGAATTAGATGAGGTACAGCACAGGTTGAACAACTGGGAGATACATTTAGAGATGGGCAAAAAAGACCTTTTTGCCTTTGGGGTCAGGTGATAACATCCCCACCTTTCATTTATGAGCAGTTTTTATAGCAGTAAAGTTACCTCTGAGACGTTAAGCTGATCAGTTTTCACCAGCGCACTCCCAGAGTCAGACAGCATCTGCTCCTTTTCCTCACTGTATTGTATTTGACAAAGCTTTATTCTCCAGAAGTTGTGAAATTCACCAGCCCCGTGTGATTTAGCTACGAACTCACACACAGACACACATGTTCATATTCCCAGTAATGGACTGTTAAACGATGTTTAAAAATCATCTAAGAAGTAAAATGTAAAAATAATCTGACAACCAAAATATCTTTTTCCCCACAACTTTTAAAACAACTTTGCCTTTTGAATCTATCAACATTATATATTTTTTCTTTGCGTATGGGAGAAATTTATTTCACGCTTTATGGCAGAATAGGGAAACTGTCGGTCTAAAAGGAGAACAACGTTTTAAGGAAATGATGAACAATATGCATCGCATTGTCATAACCTGACAAACAAATTATTTCAGGTTCTCCTATTTACAAGTCGGCTATCTTCAGTAAGTGAATGCATTTTGTCTGAAAATTTACATAAAAAAATACCAATGAGTTTGCCAAACCAGATTTATACTTCTGTGGTTGTGTAATAAACAAAAATAAATAAACAAGCACATATTTTTGTAACAGAAGACTTTTTGCCACTACAGCCAACTGACTTTAGGAAACAAAGACATACCTATACCTCAATCCGTTTTAGATATCCCATGTTGGGGGAGTTCCAGTTTCACTTCCATCCTGAGGTCACTAGATGTCGCCAAACTAACACACATGAGAACAATCTCCTTGATGAGAGGCCCAGGTATAAAAGGCATCTGATGACTGCTCTTCGACACTGGAGCATTACCTGCCGATGGTTTGTTCTTGTAGCCCTTTAATATATTCAAATTCAAATATACTTTATTAATGCCAAAGGGAAATTAATTGTTGTTGTAGCTCATCTTGGTTTCATTAGAGTTGTTCTAGATGCTGATGTCTTTGGGCAGGAAGGATCTCTTGTAGCAGTCCGTCCCACAGCAGATCCGAAAAAACTGGCTACAGATGTCAATCTGTTCACCCAGACCCAGCAGACCTCTCGGTCTCTTGGGCAGCAGGACTGCCTGAATGCCAGGCAGAACTTCTCCCTGAGCGGTGGCCATTTCTCCCAGCAGCCTGCCGAGCCCCTTGTTGCCGCAGACTTAACTGCAGGTGCCGGGGGATGATCTTGGTCCTCCCGCTGTCACAAGCTGCGTTTCCCGCTACCTCCAAGATCTCTGCAGTCAGGCACTCAAGTACTGCCTCCAGGTAGACGGGAATGCATCCATGGCACCTCCTTTTCAACTCATTTAGTATTTGGGGCTGTAGTTGAGATTTGAGCTTTTGAGACGTTAATCAGCTGCTCCATATATGATCTAAGATTACTTACCTGTGTCTTTTGCTGTTTCCAGTGAACCTCCTGAGACCTACATGTTCCTGGACTCCTTTGTGAAACTCTAGAAACCTCCTTGTGGTCTCCTCAGCTGTCTTCATCGCCTTCCAGCACTCACCCACCAGAGACCATCTTCCACTCTGGACGACGCCTTGTTTGCACAGGATTATTGGAACCAGTCGTTCTCCAACAACCATTCTCTGACCAGTAAGAACCAGAAGACAATCTAATTATCCGTATTTTCCACCCGACACGTCACTCCGCCCTATAAGTCACATCAGTCTGTATTTGTCTAATAAAGTGGAAAAATCCATAAATATGTCTCTTCGTCGTATACATTGCATCTATTATGCGTCACCGCTGACAACCCGGGAATGTGGGCCTGTGTTGTGCCAAAAATCGATGGGCTGCCAAATGGCGGTCCCAGGAGTGTGCACGGGAGGACTGTAACAAGAATTTAACAAGATTAACACTCAAAAATAATTATTTGTTTGCTCGAAATTATGGTAAAGGTGTGTCTCAGCCTAACGTTTGCTTAATAAATACACTTTGACGGTCAAATCAGTTGCATTTCAAAACATGATATGCGGAAGTAAACACGTGCACTCGACGAGTCGCTGTGCAAATTTAACAAGATAAATGCCTCAAAACAATTATTTGTTTGCTCGAAATTATAGTAAATGTGTGTCTCAGTGTAACGTTTGCTTAATAAATGCACTTTAATTGTCAAATTAGCTGCATTTCGCCGGGGCGGTGCAGCTGGTTTGACGGGTCCAAGCAGCGAGCAGAATGAAGGTGGGGAGGGTATGGCAAGCCGATTGTATCATTAATAGCTGGTGAAGATTCTCAGTTATCCAGGACATGGTAAAATCAAAAAAGTTCAAGAAAAAAAACTATAATGTAAAGTATAATAAAGTTCAGTTGTTTTTGTCTTGAACTTTTTAGAATTTGTCATTATAGCCACGTTTACCTATTACATGATACAACAGTATGCCATACTGCTACTACTACTCTGCTGCTATCAAGTGGTGGAAAGTTGTACTGCTCCTTTTTTTTCCCCAGTCAGAATGAATGAAAACGGTCAGATCTCAGACAAAAATTGGTTTATAAATATGGGGAAAAAATCCATTAATATGTCGCTTCGGCCTTTAAGTCGCAGGGCGTGCAAATTACGCAAAAAAAGTGTGACTTATCGGCCGGAACATACGGTAAACCATTCCTGCTGAACTCCAGAGCTGACCCTTCTCCTTGCTCCCCAGGGTTCCTGTGGTATTATTCACTGTAAATAAAATCACTGAACTTTCCTCCCTGTTGTTGAGTTGTTCATATTCAGTCCTTTCACTCTGGGTATTCAGTTCTTGTGACAAACGTCTGTTGAAACCTAATAATGTGTCTGTTAGTAAAATATCTCATGAACCCCAGCTGATCTGGATGCATCTCTTGGAAAATAACCACTAGAATTAAATCCAAAGTTCTTAGTTAATCGAGTTCAAGAGCCACGGATAATCAACAGTAGCCAACACAAAGATGGCTACAGTTCAGTTAATCTAATCTCACACGTGACGTGGTAGTAGCTGAGCATTTTACCAACACATACTCTGAGCGTCACATCTTGCAATATCACATTACTTTTCTCACCTAAAGTGATTTTAATTTAAAACTGGCATGAAAGGCAGGGCTTTTAATCAATACTCTTCGTAAGACATTGTTCAGCTTTAACATCTACTCTACATGTGATTTTCAACATGTGTCCTGAACGCCACATTGAAAATGTCTCTTGCACAACTCAATCTCGGTATCTGCACGTTTCTGAAAGCCCCGGTTGTGCAACGCAGAACCCCAGTGGTTAAACAACAACAGAGGACTGCAAACACTCAGCTGGACTGGACTTCCCTGACTTTTGTAAGTCTGGAGAACAAAAAACGGGAATTCCTGTTCTACGAGAACGTTGACGTAAGCAATCCCAAATAAAACCCCTCCTGAGCAGAGCCTTGCAGAGGGTGCTGCTCTGCAGAGGCAGAATCTTTTTGGATCTGAGACGATTGAAGTGGATTTCTGTGAGCAGCGTGAAGATGAGGACACTCTGGATTCAGATGGTTGCAGTCTGTGTTTTCCTGCAGGTATACACTGAACGGTCAAACATGCAGCATTAAAATCAGTCCTGGCTCATAACTGCTGTGTATTTGTATGAATGTTTATGAAGTATTCACACTATTCATTTGTCTTCCATATGTTTTCTACGCAATTCTCGTCCCGTAGCTTTCAACCTTTTTCAGCAGATCATAAATCAAAACATTCAGCTCGTTCAGGACAATCCTGCTATGACTTTTATTGTTGGTGCAACTTTAGCTGTTTGAAATATTTAGCCTTTTCTGCCGTGTTTTTCTCATAGAAAATGAGTTGAGCTCATTTTACATCCTTCAAATCTTTAGATCTGTTTGCAACCTTTCACCGCTCCCTTCACATTTTGTTCTGCTTCAGCTTCTTTTAGCTTCCTTGTGCAATTTTAAACGTTCTTTCGGCTAATTTCAGCTAATTTCAGCTGTTTGGTGCTCATTTTAGATTTGTTCTGCTAACATTTCTGTGCTTCTTCTTTCTGCCAATTTCAGCTTGTTATACTCCTTTCTGCTTATTTATGCAAGTTTCAGCTTTTTCTACTGTTTCAGCTACTATGTGCAAATTTCAGCTTTTTCAGCTAATTCCACACTTTTTTATTTCCTCACTCATTTAAACTTTTTTCAGCGTAATTTAGTAAAATTGTGCTCTCTCCACTTCCATCTGGTAATTTAAGCTTCTTTCTGCCTTTTTTAAAGTACTTTTCAGCTGTATTTTTTTTTTACTAATTTTAGCTTTTCTCAGATAATTTTCACTTTATTTTATTAATTTCTGCTTCTTTCAGCCTAATTGAGCAAACGTTCTTTTTGCTTTCTTATGCTAATTTAAGCTTGTTCTACCTTTTCAGCTAGTTTTTTTTTAGCTAATTTTAGCTGTTTTCAAATAAATTCAAGTTTTTCATGGTAATTTTTACTACTTTCAGCCTAATTAACTTATTTATGCCAATTTCAGCTTATTATGCTTGTTTCAGCTTTTATCTGTTTTTTTTTCAGCTTTTTTTTTTTGCTCTTTCAGCTATGTATTTAGCTCTTATATGTTAATTTTAGCATTTTCAGCTTATTCTACATTTTTCAAACTCATTTCAGCTCCTTCCATTTACTTCTGCTAGTTTAAGCTTCTTTTTGTATTTTCAACTACTTTTCATGTATGTTTTTTTCAACCTTTTTAAGCTACCCGGTAATTTCCCAATTGTTGGAACTCATTTCTGCTTATTTAAACCTTATTCAGCAAATATATGTTCTTTCTGTATTCTTCTGCTAGTTTAGGCTTACTCTTCATTTCAGCATGTTTTTAGCTAATTCCAGCTGTTTTTCAGCAAGTTCTTTAGCTAAAAACATTCACACTGCATTTTCACAGGAAATGCAATTCCTCTAGGTTAATGGTTGTATTTGTTCTGTCCTAATCATATTTTCAGAGTTATTGTTTTACATTTCCAAGTACTGTGCTGTATTTTTAAACTGTTTCTAATATTTTCTTCAGTACAAGTTTATGTAAAATACTAATAACTAATACATAGGTAAAACAAATTCTAAAATAAATTGAACAAAATCATCGGTATGCAGTGGAGCTGCTTTACTTAACTTTCCCAAAAATGAAAGATTAACATTTTAAGTTAAATAAAAAAAAAATAGTAGTTTTAAAATTTTACTGGGACATCGGTTTTGAAACAAAATTTAAAAAATGTTGAGAGTTCATAATAAAATATATTAAAGTTAAGTGTTAAATGACCAAGGACTTATGATAATGAATAATTCAGGAAATTGCTGAAAACTCTCCTGCATAAATATGTTTTAATTTTTATTTTCAGATGCCAGGTTGTTTCCCAGCATGCATCGTTGTGGGCTCAGTGGCCCGCTGTGGCCTTTCAACCCTCAGCCAGGTCCCTCCTCTGCCTCCCAGCATCACCCACCTGTTCCTGGAGGTGAACCGCATCCGTGAGATCAACGCCACCTCGCTGTCCGGCCTGGAGGAGCTCCAGGAACTGGACCTCGGACACCAGCTGGTCCCGCTCCTCATCAGGAACAACGCCTTCATCAGACAGAAGCGCCTGAGGAGGCTGGTGCTCGGCTCCAACAGCCGGCTCCTGCTGGAACCGCTGGCCTTCGCTGGACTCTCCAGCTTGCAGAATCTCCAGCTGAACAACTGCAAGCGTAATGACTCCATCCTGACGGACAACTATCTGGAGCCGCTTTCCTCTTTGCAGACTCTCAACCTCTTTGGCAACCACATCAAGAAACTTCAGCCTGCGATGTTCTTTGCAAACATGACTAAATTGGAAAATCTGAATCTCATGCTGAACAGCATTGACAAAATCTGTGAGCCGGATCTGGCTGGTTTCAGAGGAAAGCACTTCAAGATCTTGAACCTGAGCTCTGTCTTCCCAAGGGCGATGCTGAGTCACAGCTTCGACTGGCAGAAATGTGGGAACCCTTTCAGAGGAACGTCTTTTGAGACGCTCGACCTGTCCGATAACGGGCTTGGCCCCGATAAGTTGAAGATGTTCTTCAAAGCCATCGAAGGGACGAAGATATCCCACCTTAAGCTCTCGGGGCACATGGGGAAATCGTTTTCATTCGACAACCTCCCAGATCCAGACGTCAGCACGTTCGAAGGCCTGAGGAACAGCTCCGTCCTGTCTTTGGATTTATCTAAAAACTTCATCTTTGCTCTGCAGCAAGGGGTTTTTAGTCCGCTGAGCGAAGCCGCAGCCATCGATGTTTCCCAAAACCGCGTGAACCAGATACACAAGAACGCCTTCGAAGGTCTTCAGGGTCATCTAAAGGTGCTCAACCTGTCGCACAACCTGCTCGGGGAAATCCACTCCTACACATTTGCCCACCTCGCACACTTGGAAGTCTTGGATTTGTCTCACAATCACATCGGGGTTTTGGGTTCCCGCTCGTTCGCCGAGCTCCCCCACCTGAAATCCTTACACCTGGGCGACAACGCCTTGAGGCAAATAGGCTTCCCCGCGTCCCTACCGAGTTTGGAGCGTCTAGATTTAAACGACAACAAGCTCACGGCTTCGCACGTGGTGGCCAACGATCTGACTCGGTTCGCGGGCAGCGTCAAACATCTGAACGTTCAGGACAACCGGCTGACGAACCTGGGGGACGTCAATACGCTTTGGGGCGAGCTGAAACACCTGCGGACGCTGTTCTACGGCGGGAACGCCATCGGGCGGTGCTTCCTCAACCGGTACGTTCGCCCAAACCACGTGAAGTTCCTGGATCTTCACAGCAGCTCCCTGCAGTCCATTTGGGCGGAGAGGAACTGCCTGAATCTGTTCGACAGCTTTGGGAACGTAACCAGCCTCAACCTGAGCTTCAACGGTCTGCGCTCTCTTCCTCGAGGCGTCTTCAGGGGCCTCACCTCCGTGGTGCGGATGGACCTCTCGTCTAACTCCCTGACCTACGTCGAGCCCGGCGTTTTACCCAAAACTTTAAAATCTCTCCACCTGTCCAACAACTTCATAGCCTCCCCCGATCCCGCTGCTTTCAGCTCCCTCAGCTTCCTGGACCTCTCCATGAACGGGTTCTGCTGCGACTCGAACCTGCAGAACTTCCTGACGTGGCTGAAACACACCAACGTGACGTTTCTGAGTCCAGTCCAGGAGCTTAGATGTGCGTTTCCTGCTGGTTTCCACAACGTGCCGCTGCTGCATTACTCTGCAGCAGCTGGAGCCGCTCTGCACGGAAATGAAAGATGGAAAGAGGTTTGACTTTTCTTCAAGGTTCTCCTCCCAAACGTCTGAGAGGATGGTCGGTGCAACGCTGCTGAACAGTCACACTATTAGTTTGCATTTTTACAAACTTTTCTTCTGCTACTTTTCATTTTTCTGAACGCTCAGCTTGATCGAGAATGTGACCTTTAGTATTTTTATCTTTTATACTTTTTGATGTTTTTACCTTTATTTACAAATCTTTGCCTGGGGGAGTGGTGGCGCAGAGGCTAGAGAAGGGCAGCCTGTGATCGGAAGGTCGCAGGTTCAACTCCCTGGAATGACATCAAAAAATGTAGGTGGGAAAGATGAAACACCCACAACTGCCTCCACCCTCATTTGCCCCACTCTGCGCCCTTGAGCAAGACCCTTAACCCCCATCATCTGCTCCCCCAAGATGATAGATAGATAGATAGATAGATAGATAGATAGATAGATAGATAGAT